GACATAATGACGATTCGAAATAAGTCTGATAATTGTGTGTCTGTTGAGAATTACGATATGAAGCGAATTATGCACAGATGACTCGAATAATTGATGAAGTTATGACACTAATAAGATGCATAATATACTCTCAACAAAGCACGAATTAATTGCTATTCTCGACACTTACTTCAATTCGACAAACTATTATTCTTATTTCAGAAATAGCAATAATGATAATGATTATAATAATAATGATAATAGCATTGAAAATAAATGCTCAAAGTTATTAAGTTACTATCAGACGTGTGCCTACAGTCTCATCACCAGAGCAATTTCCTACAGTCGTCAGTGAATCCACTCCCCATAGTGGCAAAATGAATTTAATGTTGATAATATCGGCGATGCTTTTATCGTCTAAGACTTCAATGCTCAAAGAATCATCACTTCAAAACCCCAGAATTCCAACTATTCAAAATTTTATGCGTTCAAAATCAGATTGCGAATTAAGCATTTAGGCAATGTACTAATAAACATCGATACTTTTCAAAGTGATGAAAAGCAGTCTGAAAAAAAAAGAGATCATAAGCAGTGGTGTAAATCCGATTAAATATCAATCAATTTATATTTATTTATTTACATATATCAAAAATTGTTTTAGTGTCATTATGCAATCGCCATATTCATAATCGTTTCATTCTTCTGTCGGTTTTGTTTGATTTGTTGATGTGGTGCGTCATATACCCATTATTAATATTATTATTTAATCATTATTATTATTTTATTTCATTTTATTAATATTGTTATACTATTATCATAAATGGTTCAGAACTGTCCTATTTTCAAATTATTCATAGAATTCACCCACCCCATCAACTTCTACACTGCTGCTGTCATCATCACCATCATAGCCATCCGAATTCTCTTCAAAATTATTTCGTAATCAAAAATTTCGCAGTTCCCTTATCAATTAAATTTACGGTTTAAAAGAATCATTGAAAAACTGTTTGAAATTAAATTCAGAGGCATTCAAAAGTCANTTCGTAGACATATTTGCATGATGAGATAGGAAAGGGATATTGGGATATATATCCCTTTACGAACATAACTAAAGTTGTAACGAGAGATAACTATAATGCAATATCACAGTGACTATTCAAATCCGAATGGATAAAAGCTCAATCGAGCAATCGCTATATCAAATAAGGTGACAAGATGTGTAAAAATTTGTCGGCTCTAATCGTTTCCCACGTCCTTTCCCAAACTATTATTCCATTTTACACCTATCTATTTACCCGTTTATCGGGTAATTTGAAAAGTACTTCCACTTTACACCTATCCACTCCAATTGTGAACGTTAATCTCCACTACTACAGTCACGTTCGTAACCATTTCCCCAAATTCTGTTCAGTTTCTACTAAAGCTATCAGATATCTTCATACGAAATCATTTCCTCAACTCAACACGATTCATTCAACTCAAATTTACTTCCCAAACCATTTGACAGTACATTACGTTCATGAGATGGAATAAATCAAATTTAAAGAGAACATTCGTCACCAACGATAAACAATACCTGAAAATAGAAAGTATTCATTTCAATTAATTCTAAAGTGGACACTGCTTTAACTGAACATAAATGAGAAACATACACAAACAACCACTTCAAACTGACTCTTTCAAAGAAAACTCAAAAAAGTGCATAAACATCAATCATAATTTAGTAAAATTCTTGAACTCGTCATTTCCACACAACTCCACCAGAGAATTTGGAATAGGTAAAATTGCAGAAATTAGTGTTAATTGATTAAAATCAAAAATTTTCAATCAAATTCACCCGTATTCTTTTGTACCCATTCAAACTGCCCGTCTACCCACCCACCCACAATATAAGAAGAGTCACATCTCAAATTCTCACCACCAACGGCTTCGATGGCGCCTCACTAATTGCATCCTTTCTCGTTAAACAAATATGACTGTTACAAATCATTATAATTCTTACACAATCATCTCAATGAATTAACACTAATTTCAACATCAAATCCGAGTCACTCATCTCAAATTGCACTCTACATTAAACAAAATTACCCAATAACGATCACATATAATGCAAATAAATCTTACTTCTCATACGATAATCTCAAATCTCATTCACCACGTTACGTAAAATCCAATCAAACGCTGTATATGATAACGATATTGCTGATCATCATTATCGCTTTGCGCCTCTCTATCAAAATATACTCTGCACTTCTTAAAATTACTCAACTTATCTTAATAGTACCATACTTTTACCATTAATTTCAAAACTGTGATTATGTGCTGATATGCTTCTTGAGAATAGGATGCTATGTAGGGCCCTGAGGCCACAAGAATGATTTGATGATGAGACAAACCTTCACACGAACAGTCAATCGAAAGTGGTTGATAA